ATAACCTAGAAAAGCTTAATCTATCATAACTTTTCAGTCCAGCATAATTATGAAAAAGAGCCGTGATGATGCAGTGGTTAGAATGCAGTATTGCAGACTAATCCTCACCAGCTCAAGGTTGACTCGGCCTTCCATCCTTCCGAGGTCGTAAAATGAGGACCCAGATTGTTGAGGGCAATATGCTGACTCTGTAAACCACTTAGAGAGGGCTATAAAACACTGTGAAACAGTATATAAGTCTAAGTGCTATTGCTATTACTGTATATAAACAATAATTACATTAAGCTCTGTATTAAATTATCTTTGGGATATTGCTGTTGACAGGACTCTCCACTGAATTTGATCCAATCTGGCTCCTTTTGTTTTAAAAAGTTTAATGTATTTCTGTTACCATCTTTTTATGGAGTTGTTTCTTCCCAGAATTTATATATATTTAATATTTCAAGGGTAACAAGTATATTATTTTATTCATGCAATGAATAGTATTATGCTCTCAGAATGCTTTACCACATAAAGAAAAGATGATGAATAAGAGACATGAATTTTTGTACCTTTCAAGTAAACTTCTATATGTTGGTTTTTAACAAGCCAAGAAAATCAAGATATAAATCTCAAAAGGATAAATAAGCGCAAACACTAAGTACGTTTAATTTTATATTTGGATTATAACTAAGAGAGGCAGCTAAGCCTGTAAGCAAGTATTTTAATATGTAAGACTAATTCTGTTTATTAGACAAGATGATCTGGCAACTTCATAGAGCAGCTTTTTGCTGAAGATCTGGCACTATTTGACTTACTGTTTCATCCTGCCTATCTGTTCTCTTCTATCTGTTGGTGTTCTGTGGCTCTTCCTTATGATAAATACTTGCTCATTAACTCCATGCCCCTCTTTTTAGCTTCCTTGTTTTCAGCTTATCCTTTACTCTGCCTGAAATATTTTCTCTTTTGCTGTCCAAGCTGCTCTTCTGGGTAAAACTACCATTGGAGAGAAAGCCATAGGAATGACCAAACCACCTTATTTGTAAATGAGTCCATGGCAGCCAAAATCAAGCTGTTTCATTAACCAGGCCATATATACATGGCAGTTACACCCCTAATACCAACTGCATTCGTTTGAGGATATTCCGATTTTTGAATCTATTTTTTTCTGTTCTTTAATTCTAACAGTGTTTACACAAATACAACGAGATTGATCTGCTAAAGCATTAGCCTAAATTTTGCTAAATATACTAGAATCTACATTTTCAAAAATCAGTTATTTAATAAATTTAATAAATAAGGAGTCATTTGCTCTTAAATATCAGCTGTGTTGTCAGTATGCAAAATATTGTAAGAAAGCTTGTGTCACATTATCTCTCCACTTTATTATGACATGTGATATTTCATAACATGAGACTATACTATGAGACTATAATATTTTAGGCCCAGCAATCCAACACTTGATTTTCATATATGAAATTGGGTTTACTCACACTACCTAATCTAAAATATATTGTTTCATATTCTATCCTTTGAAAATTGTTGAAATTTACTGTTATTATAACAGTAAGAAGAAAATAATATAATCCATTTTGAAATCTGAGAATAAAGAAGGAAATTGGCCACATTCTTATTCTACTCAATAAGTACCCAAAAGTAGCCCCACTAGGTTCCATGGCATTTATTCCCGGTATCTGTAGAATAAAATTTCAGTAGCATTTATATATTGAGCATTTAACTCAGACTGAGAGGAGCCATGCATAGAGATCGATTATACTGGCCTTTCTAATGTCTGAATATTCAGTGAATGTCAGGAAACGTGTTAATATGGAACAAGACTGAAGCTGTACATTTAATATATACTCAAATAGTATTGCACAACAAGCTAATGCATTGCTCTTTTTCTTTTCTTTTAAACATTAAAATAAAACAATACTGGTTTCTCCAGATTTATATTCCTGTTGTACTGCTGCTGCTGAGCCTGAAGGAAATTAGCTCAGCAGTTGAATTCAGAAGCATGGATCCACAGAGGTCTGGAGCAGGCCCTGAGCTGCTTCAGAATCCTTGTGTGGAAGCGTCTTCTCCAGCAGTTGAAGAGTTGCAGTCTTGCACAGAATTATGATTGTTCCCTTTAGCCATCCCTTAAGTAAGACAAGGAAATCTTGTCTCCCCAGACACTGACCCTCATTTTTGAGTCTTCCACTGATACTCAAATATACCTGAATTAATTTAGATCGCTGGCAGGGTCTGAGAAATGTGTCTGTCTTAGACTTCATCTGATAGACCATATTTAAATTGGTTAATAAGTCCTTTTACAACTTTACAGACTACATCAAGAGTTAACAGCTGAAACTCAGCAGCATTCTCATGCATTATATGCTCTCTTTGTCTGTGGCAGTGAATTTCCTGGTTGAAAGTTACCAGCTTGATCAGCTGTTCAAAATTATCTACCCATTCGCTGTCCAAGTATGTTCAGGGCCAGAAGGACGGTTGCCGATTTTTCAGTTTATCCAGTCATTAAGAAAATTACAAATACCATTTGAGTTTGCTTGGTGAGAAAGATGTCAGGGAGATGCTTCATATATTATGCATTTATTTTTATTTATGTATATAATGTAGAGAACTGCTTGGTCCCAAATGATTGGACAACTTATTCTTTAAAAGCAGGAACAATGCAATAATTGTCATCTAATAATTGTTGGTCATCTAGTCCAACCCCCTGCTCAGGCAGGAAACCCTACACCATTTCGGACAAATGGCTCTCCAGTCTCTTCTTAAAAACTTCCAGTGTTGGAGCATTTACTGATTCTGGAGGCAGGCTGTTCCACTGATTAATTGTTCTCACTGTCAGAAAGTTTCTTCTTAGTTCTAGGTTGCTTCTCTCCTTGATTAGTTTCCACCCGTTGCTTCTTGTCGTGCCTTTAGGTGCTTTGGAAAATAGCTTGATTCCCTCTTCTTTATGACAGCCCCTGAGATATTGGAAGACTGCTATCAGTAAGTCAAAAAAATGTGCTTGGATTCCCACATATTTCTCATACAAAAAGGTAGGTACTTGATCCTGGAGAGTTGCAGCTACTGCAGCTGCTTCACTGATAACTTCTGGGTGTTGTTCCATGACTGATATGGGGAACACAAGTTTCTATTATATATCTGCTAGACCAGGGGTCCCCGACCTCCGGGCTGCAGCTCACCGGCCCATGGAAACGGCAGGTGAGCATGAGTGCACATCCCCACTTGCATGAGCAGTGCGCAAGCGTGTGCATATTCACTCCATTTGCATGAATGGCAGGCACATATGCAAGCTGCTTATGCAAATGGAATCATCCCCTCCCTCCCCCAGTCTGCAAGACTATAAAGGTTGGGGAACTCTGTTCTAGCAGACAAATAAGTGAATGAAATCTCTGAGTTACAAGGCTAGCTTGACCTTCCTCCAAATCAGGGGTCCAGACCCCTCAGGCCGTGCAAGCAGGCAAGCGCATGTGTGCAGCTCCATTTGCACAAGCAGCGGGCACTCACATGTGCATGAAACTCCATTTGTGTGAACAGCGGGTGCCTGCTACTCCCGCAAATGGAGCTTCACACACAAGTGAGAGTGACCACCACTTGTGTAAATGGAGCTGCGTGCGCAAGTGCACACACCTGCCACTTGCACAAAACCATTTCCTCTCTCTTCTCCCCCCCCACTGGTTCACAAAGCCAGAAAGGTTGGGGACCACTTTGCTAGACTGTCTAGTTCATTATGTCTGTGTGGGATGCCATTTCATGCTCATACTGAAGCAAAGTATTAGGGAGAAGTGATTAGCAGGCTAGTAAGAATATGTAGCCATATTTTTCCTTCATCTCTAGATAAAGGATTTCCTCTTATGACAATGGGAATAAGGAGTAAGCTGATCTGCCTGTCAGACATTTATTGAGCATCACAAAAATCGTGGCTCTCCAGATGGTGACCCCTAATTGAGGAACACATTTATTCAGCAGAAGATTCATAGATACAGTTTTGCTGGATCATTTTTTTTTATTGGAGTGCAGGAGGAAAAAAAACATATTCACCAGTGGTCCCCAACCTTTCTGGCTTTGTGGACCGGTGGGGGTGAGAAGAAATGGTTTCATATGACCGGCAGATGCATGCGCTTGAGCACACAATTCCATTTACACAAGTGGTGAGCACTCTCACTTGTGTGTGAAGCTCCATTTGTGTGAGTGGCAGGCACCCGCCATTCACACAAATGGAGCTTCACGCACACATGTGAGTGCCCACTGCTTGTGCAAATGGAGCTATACACACATGCTCGCCCACTTGGATGGCCCAGGGGTTGTGGACCCTAATTTAGAGAAAGGCCAAGCTTAGCCTTGTAACTCAGAGATTTTATCCACTTTCCAGCCTTAGGTATTGGTGGGGGTGTTTCTGCACAAGTGGCTGGCAGGCACATGCACACGCGCGCAGCTCCATTTGCACAAGCAGCATGCACATGTTCTTGCCACTCATGCAAGTGGAGCTCGTATGTGCATGTGCTCGCCTGCTGCTCATGCAAGTGGGGATGTGCACTCATGCTCACCTGCTGTTTCGGCCCAGAGGCTGGGAATCCCTGATATACACACAGAAATTAAGATTACTTAAAGTTGTACATTAGACCATATTAGTCTGTCTATCTGACTTCCTCTTCTTTCCTGAGACAAGAGATATTTGGTTATATTTTTGCTGGCCTTGAGTGGTATCTGAACTACATTGACACAAGGGATTTTTCTAATCAGGATTCTTCCAACCTGCTTCACAAGCTTTATATTTCTAAGTATAGTGAGTGACCAGGATAGTTTCTGTGTTAAAATTAAAGTGTTAACAGTACAGTCAAAGACAATCTGACTAGGCACTGTGTACTCAAGAATTGAACTCTTAACAATTCAGTTTTGAGGACAGCTTTAAGACGCAGCCATGAAACAATTCTCTTTCAAGGAAACTTGAAATTACCTTCCTTTTTAATCAGGCTTTCATATTCTTACAGACCCTCTCCTTTATACTGAGCCGTTGGTAAACATGCTTTCCAAACAGAAACTTTGAGAGTCTCAGTGCAACATAGATATTGAATGAGGATTGTATATTTAATGTAAGTTGTAACAACTTGTTATAAATGTTCTAACAGTAAAACTATTTTAGAAAACGAGACATTGGTTAATGATTACTTACTGGTCATGGTTACTTAACAAAATGTCCAATGCATTCTCCTAAATGCTTGGGAGTGTTTGTATTATTCTCATAGTTTACATGTCTGCTTGTAAAATCAAATTGTTTTCAAGAATCATGATTGCTATATAACATTCTTAGATTAAAGACTGGGTTTCTTTGCTCCCCTGTGGGTGGGTATACTGGTATTATGGTACAAGTAAAACTGATTTTATTCAGGGAAACAATGTATACGTCCTATGTTTATCTTAAATCAGGAAATTACTTTCCTGACATGGATTTTCTGAGCACAGTGGAGCTTTTAGTTTATACTGAAAAGTAGTGTGGCCAATGAGAATATGCATGGCTAACTCTGCTTGGAGGATGACATGCATACTGTTTTATCAATGTCCTGAGCCAATGTGATGAATCTGCTTGAGGAGTTATTCCATATAAATAGAATTTTTTAGAGGGATGGAAATGCTGATTGGCCAAGCTTTGCATTAACATTAAGACAACTCTGCTCATATTAGAGTGTCTCCCTTCAGCTTGAATCAATCTGTGTTGTCAAAAAATGTTCCAAGCACATATTTTAGGAGACATGTTTAGACCAATGGATTTCCTTTGACTCCTTCATACTTTTGTTATACTTGAACAAAGCTATGGCATAATTTAAGAGATTAGCTTCATGGAAAATACATTTCAGTTGTGCAGTTTGCAAAATGGTGAACTATGCACAAATTGAACAACTTTATTTATAGTCATTTATAACCAATATATCATGTGAGATATCTCATGATTCTGGTATTAAATTTAGTCCCAGGCTGAAAATAATTAGATAATTGATCAACATTCTTCTACTGACTATATTTGCAGAGAATAGACTAAATTTAGAAAACACCTAACCACAATAAGTATCTGGAGATCTACCACAGAGTCTTGGGAAATATTCTAGTGTGATCTTAGAATGATAGTACTAATGATTCCACAAAAGCACTAATTTCTTGTATATACTTTCACATTTAATAAATCAAAATAGCCTATTTTGTCAAAAGCCATTGACCATAGCTTCCCTCTCAAATTAAAACCCACCTTCTTCTTCAATTTTGCCTTAATGAACCAATACTGAATACCAACATAATTATGTTAGTATTCCTCAGGAAAAAAAAACAAGTAGTTATATAACCAAAATAGTATCAACCAAGCCCAGACAGCAAAGCGATATTGGAAGAGAAGAAGTGATAGAGGGAGTTGAGGTTGCCAGAACTTTGGGTGAAAGTGACCAGGTCATACTGGAATTTAATATAATTTAATATAATAAGTGTTTAATATAAACACTAGCAATAGAAAACAACCCAACCAGGGTCTTAAACTTCAAAAGAGCTGACTTTAACAAATTCAGAGAGAACCTAGGAAAGATTCCATGGATAAAAATCTTAAAGGGGAAAATAATCCAAGAAGTGTGGGAAACTCTGAAAAATGTGATCATAAAAGCCCAGACCAACACAATAGCACTGAAAAAGAAAAACAAGAAATTCAAGAAGAAACCACCATGGCTGCACAAAGATTTCTCTGACAAACTGAAAGACAAAAAGGACAAATATAAAAAATGGAAAAAGGGGCACATAACTAAGGCTGATTATCAACAGACAGCCAGAACATGTAAAGATGAAGTCAGGAAAGCAAAGGCTCAGAACGAACAAAAACGTGCAACTGAAATCAAGGATAATAAAAAAAAGTTTCTTCCAACATATTAACAACAATAAAAAAAGTCAAGGAAACTGTAGATCCACTAAAGAGAGAAGATGGCAAGGAAATGACAGGCAACAGGGAGAAAGCAGAGCTACTCAACTCATTCTTTGCATTAGTCTTCACACAAAAAGAAACTATAGCCCAACATACCAAAAAAACCACTACAAAAGACAAACTAGAAACAAAAATTAAAATAAGCAAGAAAATGGTAACAGAACACGTATCTAATTTTGACGATATAAATTGCCGGGACCCGACAGATTACATCCCAGAGTTCTGAAAGATCTGGCAGATGTTATCTCAGAACCATTGCACCATATCTTTCATAAATCCTGGAACACCAGGGAAGTACCTGAGGAAGTACCTGATGTGGTTCCCATCTTTAAGAAAGGGAAAAAAATGGACCTAGGAAACTACAGACCAATCAGTTTAACATCAATACCTGGGGAGATCCTAGAAAAGATAATCAAAAAACAGATCTGCGATTACAAGCAAACAAAGTTATAACTAGTAGCCAGCATGAGTTTGTTAAAAACAGATCATGACAAACCAATCTTATTTCATTCTTTAATAAAGTGACTAAACGAGTAGACCAGCAAAATGCTATGGATGTAGTATACTTAGATTTCAGTAAGGCATTTGATAAAGTAGACCACAGCCTATTCCTTGGTAAGCTAGAAAAATGTGGAATAGACATCACCACCAGATGGATCTGTAGCTGGCTGGCAAACCGTACTCAACAAGTAGTCCTCAATGGCACTACATCCACATGGAGAGAAGTAAGCAGTGGGATACCACAAGGTTCCGTCTCAGGCCCAGTACTTTTCAATATCTTCATCAATGACTTAGATGAGGGAATTGAAGGGGAACTCATCAAATTTGCAGATGACACTAAACTGGCAGGAATAGCCACACCCCAGAAGACAAACTCAGATTCCAAAAAGATCTTGACAAACTTGAACAATGGGCCCTATCCAACAAAATGTGGAGAAAAGCGAAGTCTTACAATTAGGCAGGAAAAATCAAAGGTACAAATACAGATTAAGTGAGATCTGGCTTAAAAACAGTAACTGTGAGAGGGACTTTGGAGTCCTAGTGAACGATCACTTGACTATGAGCCAGCAGTATGCAGCAGCAGCCAAAAAAGCTAATACAATCCTGGGTTGTATAAACAGAGGCATAGAATCAAGAACACGCAAAGTATTAGTACCGCTTTATAAAACCCTAGTAAGACCACACCTGGAATACTGCAGCCAGTTTTGGTGACCATATCACAAAAAAGATGTTGAGAGTCTGGAAAAAATTCAGAGAAGAGCAACTAAGATGATCCAAGGCCTGGAGATTAAAACATACGAAGAACAGCTGCAGGAATTGGGTTTGGCTAGTCTAAAGAAAAGAAGATATAGGGGAGACATGATATTCAATGAATATTCAATATTCATTTCATAGAAGAAAAATTAATTGTCAGGATGTCAAAAAGCAGATTATACTACTACAGAATTGCCTTATCTAATTATATGAGGACTGAATGTTTACCAGTAAATAATGCTTAAGAAAAAATAACTTACTGATCATATATTAAAAATTCTGTACCAGATTCAAGTGTTTTCATGATTCAAATATATTTGTTGCTGTTGGGGTAGTATGCCACTTTGGAACTGTCAAAGCTATTGTATACATAAATGTGCTTAATTTTTTATCTTGATGTTGCCATTTACTTTAAAAGTAAATCAAGCAAAATGGCTATTGCACGCAGTACTTTGACCAAAGCCACATTCTTTGTTTCAAGGCTCTTAGCTGTACATATCATGAAATAATCAATGGGTAACTTTAGTTTCAAGAAATTTTTGGAAAAAAAAAAGAAAGAAACATTGAATGTTTATATTTAACAACTTACTTATTACCACAAAACCCAAAAATGCATTTATTTATTTTTAAAAAGATCTAGAGTATGTTTGAACCTTTATGACTAAGGGATATTTCCTCAAATGTAATTAAGATTTCCTTGGTCATTTATAGCCATAACCACAAAGTTAAACTGTCCCTTCTGTTCTTGGGAATTTCATGTTTGAAAAATGCACTGAACTTCAGTTCCTGCCAAACACAGAGATAGTCAGTCCAGTTCGAAGCCACAGCCCAGGTAGGTGACTAAGTGCTTAGTCATATAAACAGAAAATACTCATGCTGTATTACTAATTGTTATCTTTCAGTCCAGTATTAGATTGCTTCCTTTTATGACCAGACTCCAGAACACTTCAGCACTGTTATACAAAGTGAAGTCTATTCATTTTATTCAGAAATACCAAGCACAGAAATCCTGCCATTAAAAACGTGCTTTGCTTTAAATGAAAACTCCACAAAGCTCTGGAACAGTGTTTTTAGGGAGTTTAGAATAGAGATTTCAACTAAGGCAGTTTTTTATTTACTGTGAAATTTTATAAATTTTATAAGAGATCTGAGAGTAATGTATTCTCAATTTGTATGAAATAATGAAACAAAATTGCAATAAAAGTAATTATGTAGTGAAATATGGAACTCTATAAAGTGGAAATATTAACATTTGGTGTCTATATTATTAGTCAAGTACGATTTTGTTCTCTTCTTTTCCAGGTATTAAATACTGAGTAAGGAAAAATAATCTATCAGAAAACAAGAAATTATGATGCCTGTTGAAAATTTTTAATTTAAAAATGAAGAAGAAAGCTACCTTTCCATCACTTAGATTTCCAAGGCTGGACCAGCAGGTTAAATTTAGTAATAACTTCTTTGTAATAGCTTTTGTTTAAGAGGAAAGAGAAATATAGTCAAACAAGTGTCATTCTTAAGAGATAATTTCAGTCCCAGCATGAGTTGAGCTACTTACTGTACTAAATAACGAGCATCACAAAGAAAGAAATGAAAATAAAAAATTACAATCTTATTTTCATTTTAAATAAAATAACTTATTATCTGGTTAGTAGTATAATTGTGTGTGTGTGTGTGTGTGTTCATTCATTCTTTTCTTTTATAGCATATACCAGTAGGCTGTGTAAATAGACGAGGAAGAGGTTTTTTTCGTTGCAGTGAGTAAATTCTTTTAAGAACCTCAAAGGAAAACAAAACAAGTAAATGTGTGTTTTGATCATGAAGCTGAACTCATCACCCAAAAATACTCTCCTTCTACCCTATGATGGAGCAGAAAAAACACATGTCTAGACATGAAGCCTATCTAATACCTGATCCAATAACTATCTTTGCCAAGCTTAACCAAAGTGCTGAAGTAACATAGCCAAGTAGCAGGAAAGGAAAATTTTGGAATCCTTGACACTACTAAATCAAAACTTAGCAAGTTGAGGGGAAATAGACTGCTTTTGGCACAGGCACACATAATTAAGTCCTCTCAGCAGTCAAAACCAAAATGCTGCAGACTTTTCTTTTACCTTTTACTTTTATAAGATTTATCAGGTTGAATTGTTCTTTCCTTCCATCCGGCTCCCCATCCTAACATTGTTAGAAACGTTAAGCCAAGAAAAGTATTCTACTGACATAATAGTTTTCATTCTTGGCTTCAGTTAAATTTTAAAGTGAAAATTTACGAAGTTTTGGCAAGATAAATAAATGCCTAGGACCTGGCCATGAAATACTGAAGTCAGAGGATGAAGGGCAATATATCTGGGGATTAAATAAGAGCCCTTGATAAATGAGAAACCCAAGAAAAATCAGCTGATTGAGAACGTTTTAATCTTTTCTTTTCTTATTGCCTTTCTTCTATCTACACTTGCTGCTTCCCAGCACATTTAGACAAAAGACACAAAATGCAACAGGAATGAATCCTAATAATCCTACAGCAGTGCATGTAATCGATCAACCTCCACCTTGTCTTTTCATTACCATGAACAAAATAATTAATGACATTGAAACACGTACATTCAATCTCTATTTTTATTTGTAAAATTTATTAGCCACCCATCTCACCACAAGCGACTCTGGGCGGCTTACAATATTAATATATCACAATACAATACCCCCTGCAAGTGTCGGGAGAGGAAATAGGTTGCCAGCAGAGCTAGCTCAGATTTCAAGTGCAGAGGTTTCCCTGCACGGAGGAGAAAGGCTGCTTTATTGGTGAATTAAATGTTTCTTTGCAAAGCATAAGGGAGAGCCTTGGGAGGACTAAAGCAGGTGGGCTTGTGCCTCCACTAGGCCTTCTAGGTCATCCTTGAGGCATCCTCTGCGCACTTAATGACTGGCACATTTGTTTAATGAATGCATTGGGGAAAGCAGGGATGGGAGAGTCATTGACGATGTTCATTTAAATTTTTTTCGGAATTACTGTCATAACTTGAGGACTACCAATAGAGATGAAACTTTTCCCTGGTCTGTATTCACAAGCAGACTCAGGTAGGGCACATAAGTAGATTTATTGCATAAAGTTAAAAAGCATGCATACAAGAAGCTCTCCATCTAACATACAAAGCAATCTTGTTATTTATTTAGGTTACTCCCAAGATTCAAATCCTGCATTTCTCCCTCCTGTTGTTTTTTGTGGCCTTGAGCATTTTCTGCCATTCATCTCTTCTTTACAAAACAGTTTTCTCTGGCATGAGAATGAGAGATTCCATCTCACCAGCTTCAGACTTTCTTCATTGTGTATTGCTTGGTGCAGCTTCTTACACAAAAATATTTTGAAGAGCCATTTGTCTAATAGGCAAAAGGAAGTTAGAGATCACTTCAGCAAGCAACTCTGCTAGAATTTCCATAATTACAGCAGTACTGGAATCATAAAAATCACAACAGAATCTTATAAAGCTGTCTTTATATGACATATTAGCAATGCATTGTGAGAATTCTTTATTTTTCTTGAGCCTGATTAATTAATTAATTAATTAATTAATCAGGCTAAAAATTCCATATATGGTTCCTTGTAGATCTATTTAGGATATTGCATTAACAAAGAACATATCTCAGTCAGTGGGTTCACCTATATTGTTAAGCTATAATGTGATAAACTATGATTTGTTGAATAAGCTATAGTTGGCTATGGAATACCGTTTGAAAAATGCTGTTGTAGAGCAATATCTGAATCCAGCAATATTGAAAAAAATTTAATGCTCATGTTAGAGAACTGAGATCCTAGATTTTGTTGGAATTTTTCTGCCAGTTATTCAAGGTTTTGATGATATCATTCAAATAAATAGTTGTTTATAAGGAAAAATTTGCAATATTTTTATTGCTTGACTGGCAAAAAAAAAATACTGAGGACCATCTCATCTCATTCATCACCATTTATTTATTAAGCTCTGCCTTATTTTGTTTATAGCAATATTCCCAATTTGATTTCAAATATCATCTGACAATACTTGGGGACCATTTTCAAGTTACAAATTAAAAGAACATATTGAAGATTAAAATGAATTACATCTGACAAGAGCTAAATAAGGGAAATAAGTGAGCAAGTAACTGAGACAGGAGCTTTGTTTTAGAAGAATACAATTCCTTAAAGTAATACTGATTTTTATCATTGTTATGGATTATGGCCAATCTATTTGGACCTCTATATAGCATTTAAAATAAAATATTCATTTATAGCATGCTATTATGAGGGCCAAACAGTGGCTGAATTTAAATTAACATTTGATAACTATTGTCATAACACGGTAACTGCATGGGAAACCCATAATCTGAAACAGCATGACCATTCCTTAGTTTTATATCAACTAAACAGAAAACAACAATGAAGCATATGCAGTCCTCCACATATGACTAGAATTGAGTCCAAAATTTTCATGCAAAGCAAGACAGTTGTTAAGTGAACTTTGTCCCATTTTACGAGTTTTAGTGCCACATTGGTTAAGTGAATCACTACAGTTGTTAAGTTAGTAACTTCCCCATTGACTTTGCTTGTCAGAAGTTCGCAAAAGGGGATCACATGACCCTGGAGGACTGCAACCATCACAAATACATGCCATTCACTGACTCTCTGAATTTTGATTATGTGACCACAGGGATGTTGCAACAGTCTTAAGTGTGAAAAATGGTCATAAGTCACTTTTTTCAGTGCCCTTGTAACTTTGAATGGTCACTAAATGAACAGGTTGTAAGTTGAGGACCACCTGTACAGATAATTGCTGAAGGGCTAACAGCTATGAACAAGCACAGACTTCAGAAATTGTCAATCTTATTTTCTAAGTAAATTCACTTCAGATTTAAGTCTGGAATCCCTCAGTAGTTCATAATTGTTTATGGCAATCTGAAGACAGCAATACTTAAAGATTAATGCTAATGAAAAATATACTTTAGTCTAAACCTGTAGAATAGTTCACAGAAATATTATTGTCAACGCTGCTAACATCGGATGTTCTTGCTTTGACAATGGATGAAAATGCAGCCATTTTCTCTATGCTTTTAGAATTAGTTGGTGCTGGGAGGGGGGATTGGAATGAGAGTTCAGTTAGTCATAATAATAATAACTCTGCCATGGGAATCCAAGGACAAACTGGGTCCAGAGCTGATAACGTTTTGGCGGGCTAGAGAGCTGGAGAGAAAGCCCGTGCTTCAAGCTAATTGGGGAATGTGATTTATGACTGTTTATTGGAGGAGGGAATTACACTCTGTTACTTTGTATCCAGGGGAGGGGAATTTAGTTTTTGGGTTCAACTATGTAGTGCCGATACTTTGTTTCCCAAATAGAGGATTCTTTAAGGAAAACAATGCCTCGAAGTTCTTTTGAAGAGTTTCATCTGTCGGAACCATGGCAATTATATCCTATCCACTAAAATTAAAATTGCTTTGGCCATGTTTAGCTTCCCAGTAAAGAGAACATAATTTGGCAGTGAACAAGACTGCATTTCTTTCATAAGAAAGCACTAATTGCTGCAGAGGATGGAGATTAAACACTACACATGTTCTTGGTAAATATGCATCATCTAGATCTAATCTATTGTCTAGAGATGGGAGTAGTTTGTTTTGTTTTAGAGACATACTGCTTACAGAAATATTAGAATGACAGTACTAGAAGAGATCTTGACTTAGGTCATCTTAATTAACTCACATGCCCAATACAATGGTTAAAAGATGGTTTGTATTGCCACGTATTTTAGTCCTGAAAAATTCTCTGTTGAACAGTTTGGTCTCCAGAACGAGGTTCCAGTAGGGCTTTGCTCCAACATACACTTTCCCTCCTCTTTAAGTTGGCTTTGGGCAATAGCTGTATTTGTCATTTAGCTCCATGCCAAATACTAATTTTCAGTTTGTCATCTTTGACTCACAGGAGCTCTTTCCTCTATGAAAAGGATGCAACTTCCAGCTGACCATGGAAAAAATGTAACAGGCAATTCATTTTTATCCTGATAGTACCAAAGATGAGAAGCGGGCAAATTGGAACAACTTGCTGAGGAAGTCCTGTCATTTCCAAAAGGAAATGTGATTCACTGTGTAGGGCATTTTTGGGAGCTTGAATCAGAGATATCGAGGAAGTGAATTCTTGGACAGCTTAGCCTGAAAAAGATCACATGGCTTGTGGGTTAACGGTGACTTTCCCAACAAATATTTGTGACTTTCTCTGGTACACAAAGGAAGCAGCAAAAACTCAGATTACAGTGCAAATGAAGAAGCAGAAAGTAAGACAAGCAGTTCAGACTCAGAAATATGGGGGGGGGAAACGAACTGAGCTCATTTTGAAATATGAAAAGCCATTTATTTTTTATAAAAAACAGAGAATATAAAAAACTAAACTTCACATTGTATTGCTACAGAAATGGGGGGTAGGGGGGAGGGGAGGGATGGGATTAAGTATATATAGAAATATTAAAGTATGAAATAGATGGAGTAATTTAGAGGGAGGTACCGCTCGGGTGTTTCCCCTGAACTGTAGCCGAAGAGGGATAAGAGGGGAGGAGGAGGGAAGGAAGGAAGTTGGATGGGAGGAAGGGGTGAGGGGAGAGAGGAGAGGAGAGAGGGAGTAGGGAAGTAAGGAAGGAA